GCTCATTATTTATGTAAAAGGCTATTCTATAATTTTCATGTGTTGGCACAGTGACTGTTGTTTTCTTGCCACTGATTGCTAGTTTCATTGCCCTATGATCTAATATACATGCAACAATTTTGATTTAATTGTACTTACATAAGAATGTGATATGGGCTAGTACCTGATCTGTTTTGGAGAACAGTTCATCGGCTGCTGAAAAGAATGTACATTATCTTTTTCTTGCATGGTCACTCTGTACATATCCTCAAAGTGCATGTGTTGAAAAGTTTACTTCAAGCTGGGGGTGGTGATGCACGTCTGTAAGCCCAGCACTTGGAGGCTGAGGCGGGAGGATCATTTCGAGTTCGAGACCAACCTGGGCTATGAAGCGCTCAAGGCCAGCCTGAACTGCATAGTGAGACCCTGTATTAAAAAGGCAAAAAAAAAAAAAAAAAAAGTACTTCAATTCTGATACTTCTTTGTCAGTCGTCTAGTTGACTTGTTCATTTGTGACAGTGTGTCGTGGAAATTCCCCACTGCAATTGTATTTGACTTTTCATGTGCAATAGTGTTTGTTTTATGATGTGTGCACCTCTGTTTGGTACATAAATGCTTATAATTGGTATCTCTTCCTGCTGTACTGTGCCCTTAGCCAAAGGCAGTGAATGCATGTCTTTTCATTTGTTTTGGCTTGAAATCCACTTTATTTGAAATTAGTATTGGTAATCCTGCTTTCTTCCTGTTTCCTGCTCTGAGGAATTTTTTTATTCTTTGAATTTTAATCTGTGAATTTTATTTTAAAATAGATATATTCCACACATGGAATTTGGATCTATTATTTCAATCACTGTGCTTTTATTAGTGATATGAGACTTGTATTGAGAGTTATTCTGGAACAATATGGAATTTTTCCTGTGGACATATTGGGTTCCTGTTTTTTAGTTCCTTATTCCTTACATTAATTTTTTATCATTTATTGCCCTTGTTGGCTTCATTGTTCCTTCCTGGAATACCCTTGTCAAGTTTTGTAATGCTGTTTGAAGGTAATGAACTTCTTGAGGTGCTCCTTGTCGTGGAAATACCATTTCTTCATCAATTGTGAAGGGAGGTTTTGCAGGATACATGTTAGATTGGGAAGCTGTTATCACATAGTGCTTCAAATTCTTTCAGCCCCTTGGCCTTTAAGGTTTGTGTTGAGAAGTCGACTGTGATTCTAATGCATTCACATTTGTATGTAACACGTTACCGTGTCTAATATTTGTCAACACATTGTCTCTGTGATTAATGTGTAGCAGCTTAAATATTATCTGATGTGGACAAGTTCTCTTTTGGTCCTGGCTACTTGGGGTCCTATAGGACTCAATTATCTGTATGTATATTTCCCCCTATACTTGGGAGAGTTTATTGTTTGATTTTTGTGAACAGGTTTTCTACAATATTATCGTCTTCTGATTTTGAGTCATTCCAGTTGCTCTGTCAACTTTGCATCATCCAGCAGCTATTGGATCCATTTACTTGTTGTTTTCCGGCTTTGAAGGTGTCACAGTAGTTGGTCTTTGAGGCATCACTGTGTTGTTTGTGATATGATGTCCTCACACCGGGCACTTCTGTGGCCCATACGTTCAATATAATGGTTACACTCCTGGATTTCTGTTTGAAACCATTTCATGGACACTAATTCTTTGACAAATGGTGATCCATATTTGAATACTATTCCTTAGTTCATCTGACATTCAGTTAGGTCTTCTGAAATCTCCTTTATCATTGTGTGTATTACAATCATTGCCTGTTTAATCTTCTTTGATCCTGCTGAGTATCATTTTGACCTGTTTTGTAACCTCTCCTGTCATCCTTCAGAATAATCAATGTGTGCAGCCCATGGTATTCTGTCCCTCAGTGCTCCATGGATTAGATTTGGAAGGTTTGGGAGCTTTGGAAGAAATTTCATTGCCTTTCATTCTCAAGTTCTAATTGCAATTATTGGTTGATTTGTGTGTGTGATGAGTCTTTTGGGTGTAGAGTGTAAAGACTCTTGCTACTGTGCAGATCTCTTTAGGTAGTCTCCCTTCAGTGATGCACTGTGAGTGTGGCTAAGTATCACCCTTTCTCTGTGCACTATGATCACCCACCTCAGTTAATGTTGGCAGTCAGAACTGGCCCAACACTGGCTTCACTGTAAATGTACCCTACTGTTCTTAATGTCATAAATGAAATCACAGTGTTGGCTTACAGAGAAAACTCGTTAATAGAAACCTTTCTGCATTCGTAGTACTAGCACACAATTTAGGTAATGTACTGCCATTCAAGACCAAATAGATACTGAGAAACCATAGGAAATTTTATATACCATTGTTAACCCTAGAGAAACATCCACAATTATAGTGTAAACATCATGACAACCCATGTATTGGCACACAGCTAATTGGCATGAAAATTTACAGCTTTATCACTGCTACTGGCACAGAATTATTCAACAATAATTTTTTGGACTGAACTATGTAAAAACCAGCAAAGCTTTATAGGTATACTATAAAAGACAGAATGTTAAGAACGGGGCAATGCAAAAAGAATGTGAACCCTTAAAGTAGTCAACATGAGGAGGAGGAGGGGAGGGAAGCAGGGTCAGTGGTTCCTAAAAGCACCCGAGGGCTGTTTGTACCATGAGTAAAATTTAACAAGAAAACCTCTAAAATGTAGAGTAAAATAGAAACAAAAAGAAAGTATAGAAAGAAGAAAGAGAAAAAAATTCAAGGGAGAAAACAAAAAAAAGAAAAATAAACCTGAAAAACATTTAAGAATATAGACGGGGGTGCTGGGGATTTAGCTCAGCGGCACAGCACCTGCCTGGCAAGGGCGAGGTTGTGAGTTCAATTCCCGGTACCGGAAAAACAAACAAACAAAGAATATAGACGGGAAAAGTACAAGTTTTGTGAAACAAACTGTTGAAGAATAAAGACAAACCCACTTGTTAAAAAAAAAAGAAAACGTATTCGTGATTTTTGTGTGTGCATCTTCCAGGATCTACAATTTGGGGTGTGTTCAAGCCCAGGCCTGTCCCTGCTCATGCTGGTAGATGAAGGAAGTCAGCACCCACATCTGTGCCTGATGCCGGCACCAGTAGACCCTGGAGCAGGCATGGTATTGCCATGACTTTCAAATCCAGAGTCAGTCAGTCTGCATTTAGGATATGGCCGTGAGTGTGGCCTGGGTCCTTTATCTCAGATGCCTCTGTTGTGATCGCAGCTGTCTCTAATAGTTATCTTCCACCCAGTTCCTGTGGGAAGGTAACAAACGTAGCACTGCAGAGGAACCATGTGACTACTCTGGGTCCTGTGTACAACCACCCACCCCTTCCCTGGATGGTACCTGGCAAACTAGCATCTCCAGGGCCGAGGTGGGCACTTGTACTAGTCACTCAGCAGCCACTTTTGTGGAAAGACCCGCCCAGGAGCAGGGTCACACACTGCCCTTTCAGGTCACAGGGATCCACATCTCTGAGGGTCTCCTAATACTGATTTTCCCATTATATTTCCTTATTTTGGAATCTGAATCTCAGAGAGACTGAGTGGATTTCCCGCACCACTCCAGCTTTTTCCCCAGCCTGTCTGATCTCTTTTAGTATTATGGTCTCTATGTGCATTCCCATTGCTATAAATGACTCCAACTTATTCTTCTTTATGGCAGAGAAGTACTCACCTGTGGGTAAGTGTTCTTCACTCCATCTGTTAGTCCTCTTCCTTTTCTTTTTTTAATTTTAAAGAGTAAAAGAAGGACAACATAGCCATAGGGGGATTCACCGAATTACAGGCAAAGTGGTAGGACATTATCAATGATTGTTATTTTACCTACTGGTATCATCAAGATAGTATCTCAGGAAAACAAACAGACAAATAATAGTGAGTTACAGACAAAAATGACAGGAAATTATCAGTGGTTGTTGTACCATACCCTGGTTTCTCCAAAGTGGTCTCTAGGGAAAACAAATAGAGCTATACATGAGTGATCAATCAAATCACCGACTATTCTCAATGGTTGTTGCTGAAAACACATAGTAACAAACATACATCCATTTACAAAATAGCATAGGAACAATACAAACATTACAGAGTTATGGACAGATTAGTAGGAAATCATCAACGGCTGCTGCAATACATGTTGGCATCCTCAAAAGTTGTTTCTCAGGAAAACAAAGATATGCAAGAAAGATCCAACAAGTAGTTACAGCCCAAGGGTTGCGTTCCTTTTCTATATGTATCTCTTTTATTTATCTTTCTTGACTGGCTTGAGCTAAAGTTTAAGGGAAATACATTAAAAAGTTTTCACAGTGAACATTCTCTTCCTCCTAATGTTAGGGAAAATCTTTCAGTACTTACACATTTAATGTCATTTTCCCAATGTTTTTCATAACTGACTTTACCAGACTGAGGCGAAGTACTTCAGTATCTCTTCTCCTGTAACGCTATTTTCTCATTAACGGCTTATTTTGCCAAAGGCTTTCTCTGCATCTATTGAGACAACTGTGTGTTTCATTAGCCTCAATTTTATGTATTTCTATTTTGATCTTTATGTTTTCTGCCATGTACTAGCTTTGTGTTTGGGGTGCCCTTGTTTTTCTAGGATGTTGGTGTGCATGACTAGGTTATTCATATGGACTCATTCTGTTCTTCTGATGAGGACATTTATAACCACAAACTGCTCATCTACCCTAAGGTATCCATTCCATTACTTTTCAGCACTGTTGATTCTATAATGCATAAAATCGTAAGTTATACAAAGCTCCTTTGAATTTCATGTCTGAGACATGGGGAGGACACATGCAAACATAGGAGAAATGACTGCTCTGAGCTTTGCAGCTTTGGTAAGGCCAGTGTTCTGTGTGCTTAAATTCTGTGTGTATGCCTGAAGAAAGTACTTACAAAAACAGAATCCGTGATATAATGCGGCAGTAACAAGTATGTGATCACACAAGTAGTGAATAAATCATAACACAAAACTGGAGAAAAAGTAAGTACAGACTGTTACAGTTGCTTAGTAAAACAGGTTTATTTTGTTGTTGTTACTTTTTAAACAGGCACTTACTGTCTATACAGTATGGTCTTGAATTCACTAAGTAGCCCATGTTGTTCTAGAAGTCACACAGATCCCCCTGCCTCAGCCTTCCATGCGCTAGTGTTACAGGCCTGTGCAAGGATGCCTGGCCGATAAAAGCGAGTTTCCTCAAGAATATCAGTGAAGTGAGCTGCATCTGCATTTCATGTTTCATTTTCCACATGTCCCACTGAGTTGCACAGGGTGGTTCTAATCAAGCAGTTCACCTGTGCTTGAGTGGCGGGATTACAGACAGAAACCGCCAGTACCAGGAAGACTTTTTAATGCTACACTGGCAGGAAGTAAATGTACTAGGGTAAAAATGACCTCTATTTGCACTTTTTTGTGGCTGGAATAGCAGTGTGCACTGTGCAATCCATGCTCCAGTGATGAGAAGAATGAGAAATGCGCTGCAGTAAAATTAGCCGCACCCTGAAGTATGTAAACGCTAGTACTATATTCTGCAATGTAGGATAGCTCATGAAGCACATGAGAAATTTAATATTTCATCATAAAATAGACATAAAATTTTCCCTGGTGTGGTGGTGAACGCATGTAGTATCTGCACATAGCTGAGGATTGCCGAGTGTTCGAGGCCAGCCTGGGCTACATTGTGAGATCCTGTCTCAAAAAAGGAAAATAAATAAATAAATAAGACAAAGTTGGTAAAATACGGTCCACCTGATGGCAAATTAAATTACCTAAGTATAATTAACTTAGGTTAGTATGCGGTATACTGTTCTTACTGCATTTGTCACTTTTTTATTATGAATAGAAACCCAATAGAAACATGTCCAAACATAAAAATGGTAAAAAAATTCCTGAGGATATTCTTGCTGACAAAGCCTATCAACTTATATAGCTGGTGGAGAGGTTAATTATTATACCGCATTGAACCTTCTTTGAGAAAACAGATTGCTCTGCTGGTCTCTGACAGTGGGGGCCTCACAGAAATACAGATTTTTTTGGATAATGGATGGAATAATTACCTCCCCAAAATCCTGGCAATATGAACATGAAAAGTGAAACTTCATGATACTGTACACACACATATTAATGGTTCTGCTGAAGAGAAAAATCAGGGGAAATTATGCACTGCATATAACCTGTAATTATGTTAGGATATGTACAGATATTTTCTTACAACATTAAAAACATGACATCTGCTAATTTATGTTGTTTGAAAACAGAGGAATGCTTAAGCACATGTACAGAAGTTACTAGTAATAAATTATAAAATGACAGCCAATTAAAAAACTCTTGCTGGAATAATGGCCTGCATCCAGCAAACTATTAAATACAAGCTAGTGGGAAAATGACAGCAGTTAAGGAAATTCAGTTTTAGAGTTATGTTACCCTCCAATTAGTAAATACAAAAAAGGAAACAAAAATAATAGTTAGAACACTAAGCCTACCGTCATGTAAGAAATACAAGTCATTTCACATTTGGACTGATCCACCCTGCCTCAGCCTCCAGAGTGCTGGGATGACAGGCATGCACTACTACTCCTGGCTACGTTAATTCCTAAAAGAGAATTTAAAATTCTTTAACCCAGAGATCTATTTTAAGATGGAACTTACAATATTTACACTTCAGGATATCTCCTTCGCATGTGTATTTTCTGGACAAATAATTGCTCTTTTTTAGTAACTCATTTTTTAGGTTTACACTGTATGTGATCAAAGGATTTGGAAAACATGAGTTATTACTGAGACCTTCGTATTCACAGGATTTCAAAACAATATTCATTCTTGCATGCAGAAAAGCTGGAAAGTTGTGTGCAATGCCTGTATTAATGGTTTCAAGCAGGGGTGATTTTTGCCACATGAATTGAACCAGAATGACTACAAGTGTTCCCATAAATGTTGGTATGAATCTTCTCACTGCAACGCCATGCCTTATCATTAGTGAAATGTTCTCTATTTATACTGACACTCATCAATTGATGCTATGGGCATCACGTGATGCTTCCTCACATTATTTACAAAGCACTTCTCTTCAATGGGAGTGCTTTCACGTATTTTAATGTGGAAAAATTGAAGGGCTTCCATGTATATAACATGCCCCATCATATCTTTCATGTCATTAATTTAAAAACACTCCCACATTGCTGACATATGTTACAGGTCTCGACACGAACGTTTTCATGTATGTGATGATACTTGTGTGGACTGAAATAGGTTTCATATTGTTTCGAAGGGTCTCAGTCTGATTCACGTCTAAGTCACTTCATACACTGAGTTATTGCAGTCTCCCTTAATATGCATGGGAGGCTCGTTAACGTGCAGAGGCTTTTCCTGTTTCCACAGACTTTCTCCCAAGCATGACTTATTTCATCTAACAAAACCTCTGTGTATTGAACGCATTTACACATGAGTGTGTTCCTTTATGTCTTTGACAATCATCATGTAGGCTGAAAGCTTTCCCACATTGGTTACATAGATAATGTTCCTCCCCAGTGTGAGTCCGTTCATGCTTTTGACAAACACCACCTGTGCTGAAAGCTTTCCCACACTGCTTACGTAGTGTTTCTCTCCACTGTGGGCCCTTTCATGTTCTTTGTAAGTATACTGTCTGCTGGAAGCTTTCCCCACTTTGGTTACATACTTAGGAATTTTCCCCCGTGTGAGTCAATTCATGCTTTTGGCAAACACCACGTGTCCCGAAAGCTTTCCCACATTGCTTACCTAAGTGGGGTTTCTCCCTAGTGTGATTTCTTTCATGTCTTCTAACACATTTGTTTGTGCTAAAAGCTTTGCCACATTGCTTACATGCATAGGGTTTTACACCAGAGTGCGTCATTTCATGTGATTGCCAACATTCTTTTGTCCTGAAGGCTTTCCCACATTGCTTACACACATAGGGTTTTTCGCCAGTGTGAGTCCGTTCATGTACTTGACAGTAACGTTTTCTGCTAAAAGCTTTCCCACAGTGTGTACATACAAAGGGTTTCTCTGAAATGTGACTCTGTTCATGAGCTTGACAATCACACCTTGTGCTGAAAACTTTCCCACACTGCTTACATGCATAGGGTGTCTCACCAATGTGACTTCTTTCATGTGTTCTAAAATACTTCTTTGTGCTGAAAGCTTTCCCACACTGCTTACACACATAGGGTTTCTCACCAGTGTGAGTCCATTCATGTGACTGCCAACCTTCTTTTGTCCTGAAGGCTTTCCCACATTGCTTACATATATAGGGTTTTTCATCAGTGTGAGTCCTCTCATGTACTTGACAGTAACGTTTTCTGCTAAAAGCTTTCCCACAGTGTGTACATACAAAGGGTTTCTCTGAAGTATGACTCTGTTCATGAGCTTGACAATCACACCTTGTGCTGAAAGCTTTGCCACAATGCTTACATGCATAGGGTTTCTCACCAATGTGACTTCTCTCATGTGCTCTAAAATACTTCTTTGTGCTGAAAGCTTTGCCACACTGCTTACACACATAGGGTCTCTCACCAGTGTGTGTTGTCTCGTGTGATTGCCAACCTTCTTTTGTCCTGAAAGTTTTCCCACACTGCTTACATCCATAGGGTTTTTCGCCAGTGTGAATCCTTTCATGTACTTGACAATAACATTTTCTGCTAAAAGTTTTCCCACAGTATGTACATACATAGGGTTTCTCTGAAGTGTGACTCCGTTCATGAGTTTGACAATCACACTTTGTGCTGAAAGCTTTGCCACACTGCTTACATGCATAGGGTTTCTCACCAGTGTGAGTCCTTTCATGTATGTGCCAACCTTCTTTTGTCCTGAAAGCTTTCCCACATTGCTTACACACATAGGGTTTCTCTCCAGTGTGAATTCTTTCATGAATTCGACAGGTACTACTTTTGCTGAAAGCTTTTCCACACTGCTTACATGCAAAGGGTTTCTCCCCAGTGTGACTTCTTTCATGGATTCGATAAATGTCATGGGTGCTGAAAGCTTTCCCACACTGTTTACATACATAGGGTTTTTCTCCAGTATGAATTCTTTCATGAATTCGACAAGTGTTGCTTTTGCTGAAGGCTTTCCCACACTGTTTACATACATAGGGTTTCTCCCCAGTATGATTTCTTTCATGTATTCGACAATTGCCACTTGTGCTGAAGGCTTTCCCACACTGCTTACATACGTAGGGTTTCTCCCCAGTGTGAGTCCATTCATGTACTTTACATTTTCTTTGTGTGCTGAAAGTTTTCCCACATTGCTTACACTCATAGGGTTTATCTCCACTGTGGGTTTGTTCATGTTCTTGACAGTTCTTTCTTCGGCTGTAAGCTTTCCCACATTGGTTACATACATAGGGTTTCTCTGCAGTGTGAATTCTTTCATGATTATCCAATGAACTGTTAGGGAATGGTTTTCCGTAGTGTTTCCCTACATAGGACTTGTCTCCAGAATCAGCTTCTTCATGTGCCTGAGTATCATGGTGAGAATTAAAATATGTTCCCCATGGTACACATATATACATATTCAGTTCGCTGTGACTTCTTTCCTCAATTTGAATATTGATGGGTGTAATGAATGAGATGACGTCTGACTTCTCTTCAGTGCTACTTTCTTCAGTGCAATCAGAGTAGGACTTTGCACACAGCATATATTCATGGGGTTTCTCCCCAGGACTTGTCTTTGCATGTTTCTGAAAGGACTGAAGTTCTGTGCAGGTTTTCCCTTCTTTGTCACAGGCAGACAGCTTCTCTTGCAATCCCTGTTTCTCATATGGTTTGAGTGCAGAGTTTGCCATGATGGGCCCATCTGCTGATGAAGGGCCAACCAGGGGCCTTCTAGAGGAAATGCCTTCACCTGGTTTTAAAGCAACAACTTTCACAAGCACGTTTGTATCCAGAGTCTGAGAAACCATTTCTCCATGCTGATTCTGTAAGTTGTATTCACAGGATTGGTCTAACTCTTCAGTTCTGTAAAATGGGAGAGTAACAAAACAACCCATCACATTTAATGGTGTCTCTTATAATGATTCACCACGAAGAGATCTGGCTCAATGCCCCCTAAGAACATTTACTCATCCTCTTACTGTACATGCTGCACAATGGCTTGGGCACAGCGTTGACTCAAAGTGTAGGATTCACTTGGGAATTTGTACTCAACCTATTTGCAACACACAATACGGACTTACATTTTGAGGATTTGGAACACACCTGGATGCAACTTGTTCCATGTATTGATGACTTTTGATATATTTTCCTCCATGAGCCCACCCACTCCCCTTCCCCCGAGCCTCCTCACCCACGCCAGAGTGTCTGCCTCTGTTTACCACCATCTCTCCTCTATTTACACCTTAATTCATGTTGTGGGATTCTCATACAAGATACAGCTTGTGACATTGCAATTTCTGTCTGACTTATTTAGTCCAACATTACGGGCTCTAGATCCACGCGTATCTTGGTGAGTGCCATCACTTCATTCTTTCGTGGATGAATACTATTCCGTTATGTGTACACACCGCATGTTTTCCAGGGTTGGAAACTGCACCCAGAGTTTTAGCATGAGATTCATTCATGTGCTTTTTATTTCAGTACAGAGTCTCCTCAATCATTAAGGTGCAGGATGAGCATGAATGCATAGTCTTCCTGCTTCAGCTTCCTAGAGTCCTGTGATTCCAAGCGTGCCCCTATGCGCACAGGCTCTCCCATGTATCCTTAATCAACTCATCTGTGAATGAGCTTTTTTAGAGCTTAGTTTTTCTAAGTTGTACTGCTAGAAATGAGTGTTTAAGCAGCTCTGTAATATGGTTACTTTAACACTGTAGGAAACGTGCAGTAAAAGTACAGTTCGATACAGCAGTGTGCAGTTGGCATGCCTGCCATTTTGGGAGGCTGAGGCAGGAGTATCACTGTGAGTTTGTGGCCACCCTGCACTATACACAGAGAAACTGTCTCCAAAGATACAAAAATAAAGTACGGTTGGATAAAGGAGATGTCAACTTTTCCTTTTTCTGTGGAATCTCTATACTCATTTCTATAGATGTTATAGCACATTGATAGTCCCACCAATAACATGGGGATGCACCTTCTAATATTTTGGAATGTGAGTGAACTGTGGGCTTGGGAGGACTGCTTGAAAATAAATGTGATCAAAACACTGGCATTCGTTTGCATTTTGAATATATCCACAACATTAGCAACTTTTCAAATACTGAATGTGTGTTTCACATTTAACTACACATAATATTACGTGTAATTTGTGTGATGCAAAAGTGGTCTTTTAAAAAGATGAGTGTACACAATTAGAATTTAGCTCTCAGTGTGCATACAAAATTTTTTGTATAGCCTTCTGTCCTCAAAGCCTAAATGCAATTTCATTCAACATATGCATAAATCTGAGCATGGAAGAAATTTGAACTTTTTAATTTTAATTTTTAAAATTTCAGACAGGTTCTCACTCTGTAGGTGATGCTGGCGTTGAACGTACTATGTGGTGCAGTCCGGCTAGGAACTTGTCGTACCTTCCTGCCTAGATCTCTGCAGTATTGGGAATACAGCCAAGCACCAACTCATCTGATTGCTCTTTTACATTACTTCAGTGATGTCAGTTTTGGCAATAACATGAGTACCGCCTACATTTGAGATATTATAATATTTCCAATACTCAGTTATCAGTTTAGAGATATTCAATGTGTATGCGGCTATGGAGAACTTTGTGAGATTAAAGAAGTCTGAACATGATCCTGTTTGCACAGTTTGCTTGGGCTTCGTATTTTGACACTTGAGGAACTTTCTTCTTTTTATTTTTTTGTTTTTTTTTTCCAGTACCAGGAATCGAACTCACGACCTCGCGCTTGCCAGGCAGGCGCTGTGCCACTGAGCTAAATCCCCAGCCCTGAGGAACTTTCCTCTCAGAGTGCAAATTACCTTACGTGTTTCCGGAAATTTCTGTATTCATCCTCGATGTGCTGGCCATCTGAGTTCGTTCCTAAAGTGTACAAACAGAAATATAATGAAGACCTGCTACACACATGAAAATCCGTAGATTCAAGTTTGATACAGTAAAATGTGACCATGCCTGTAAGATGCATTAGAACATTTCAACCTTCCCATTAAGGAAACTGCTGACGAGCACGACTCAACGCTCTCTGATTACATAAATGAGACAATGGTATCCTCCTTACCTATGGCAGCCAGGTTCATGAAGATTTCCCACATCACATCTCTGTAGAGCTCCTTCTGGGATGGATCCAGCAAAGCCCACTCCTCCCTGGAGAAGTTCACAGCCACATCCTCAAAGGTCACGGACTCCTACATCATCAAACGTATTTCCGGGAAGAAGAGTGAGATTCACAACATGAACCATTTTAACTCTACTCATAAAAGGCTCGTATGAAGCAGAGTTTTACAAAAGTAAAACTTCATGTCTTGGCCATCAAATACTTTTTCACCATCCATTTGCACTCGTCACAAAGGAAGTTTGAGTCTACACTGGAATTTAGTGCTAAAGCAACAGAGGAATGGGAACCCTGCTTCTCCCGCTGGTTAAACTGAGGTTCAGTTGTACAAAGTCACTGAAGCATGTGTCATAGAAGGAGCCTGCAAATCAGAATCCAAGGTAAAAAGCAAGTAGACAAATACGAACTACTCCGAGGCATCAAAGAAAATGTCTTTTTTTCTCAACTTATTACTCAAGGGGTGGATCCCTTCCTTCTGATTCAACTTAGCCAGTATTTTGAAACATCAACCTGTTTCAATAGACAAACCCCTAGGAGAACACTAAGCTAACTTTATGAATGGTAATTGGAAAGCTAATAAAAATTACAGTTTTTATAGAAGAAAGCCTAAGAACAGTGAAATTGGAAGCTGGGCGTGGTGACGCATGCCTGTAATCCCAGCACGTGGGAGGCTGAGACAGGAAGATTACTGTGAGTTCAAGACCAGCATGTCTGCCAAGTGAGCTCAAGGCCAGCCTGAGCTACATAGTGAGACCCTGACTCAAAAAGAAAAAAAAAAGAAAAAAAATGGATTAAGGAAGCAGTACCATGTATGCTATGGCTCAGTGATCTGAAAGATGCCGTAAGGGAGAAAAATGGGGGATGGATACAATGAAAATATACGTGAAATACACTGATCACCAAGATTTTGCAAACCTAGCAAGCACTAGCCATGAAAGGAAAAACCACAGAATAAATCTTTCACTTACATACATGCATTCAAGTGTGAGCTTCTTTTAGGTACAAAAAGAATTTCAAAATCCACTCTGAAGGGCACTGTTCTATTAGTACAGCAAATTTTAGACTACAGAGAAGGAAGAGAGTCTTCAGTGGGCTCACACGGAATAGAATATGTCTTAGTTACATTTTTCTCATTGCAGAGACAAAATTTCCAACACCCAAAATTAAGGAGGGAACATTTATTGTAGTTCACACTTTGTAGCGGTTTCTGCCCATAATGGGCTGGATCCAAGGGAGTGTGCCGTGCAGAGGGGCACTGCAGAGGAGAAAGAGTCCGTGGCAGGCAGAGGGCAGCAAAAGCAGCAAGCACAAAGCAGTAAGCAACAGCAGCAACTCTCTTTCTGCTACTTGTACTTTATCCAGGATACCTGGGTGGTACTTACAATCCCATGAATCAATCCCATTTTCATACACTATTGACCCAGGCACCTCTGAAAAGATCTATCTATGATTGACTGAGCCTTTGGTGGGACATCTAGACACAAACCACAACATACTATTGATTCATGATAGAGCTCTTAGGGCACAAAGGGGCACAAGTGACATTCTGTGCAATAGAGGACGAGGGAGAAACATGCTATTCTTCATACGCCTTGTACAATAATTAAACTACATCCTGAAGTGGGAAAGGTAAACTAGAACACTTTTTGAAGTAACACAAAAGTGTTTCCACAAAAGAAAATCATGATGTTATCAGAATTAGAGGGAGACATTCAGAAAAAGAGGGAGACGCTCAAATGTAAATCATGGTACATAAAAGCAAAGAAGTGGTAAGTACATTTGCAGTGTATGCCACAAAAAGAATTTGAACCAAATAAAAAGAACACATAAGAAGAAAAGTAGAACATTTAAACCTCAAGAGAAAACAGCAAACAGAAAAAAAGAACCATGATTTTCTCTGAGGAAATAGGCAAAGGGAGAAGAATTGTGGAAAGACACAACTAACATGCAGACTTACGTAAAAAATGAAGGACGAAATGATATACTCCACAGCCATATCCTGTACTTCGTAGTATCCCAAAATCTACACAGAGTGACTTTATTCCAACTCTAGAAAATACAGCACATGTTGTTCCTGAAGAAAAATGGGATTCTTTTTGCATCTATCAAAAACTACATTTGAAAAAACTGCAACCATGTGACCACCAGAATTGAGAGGAAACTGCCTTGCTTCTGACACTGGCATGATCACGTATGAAACATAGCGAGACAAACGAACCACACAGAATGGTTTTCCATGGGGACTCACTTCTATGGGACTGATGGAATATTTCAAGGTGCCAAATCTAAAAGAATACTGCACAGTGACAACTACAGATGGTAAATTCCCCCGCAGCAGCACGGTAAATAGGACGGTGTTACCCATGGGGAAGACAAGGACGAGGCTAACAGGGTTTCCCTGGATGCTCTTGACCCTGCCCAAGGCTCAGTTTAAAACTTTTACAGGGTTCTGATGACATTTAGATTATTATGATTGCTTAATCTCACCAAAAGCTTTTTTGAGAATAAATTTAACTGCAAAATATATAAACACTACTATTTGTAGTATTCAGGGTTTACAAGGGAATGTAGTTAATACAGGACATAATTTATAAGATCATTTTATAATGTTCACCCAAAGCGTCAAATGCAGAAGAGTGGGAGATCTTCCACTCCTCGAGAACCAAAGTATCTGGCTGAGGGCTGCAGCCCGTGGCAATGTCCTCCACGAGTCCAGCTGGAGGTCTTCAGCCCACAACAATGTCTCATGGAAGTCTGGATCAAGGACCTGCGCTGGGAAGGCCCAAAGGTCAGTGGTAGAAGCTGGAAAATCTGTGCCAGAGGGATGAGGGATCTGTTCCAGCAGGTTGAGACATCCATACTGGAGCCAGGAAACAAAGGTATCCAGGGAGGGTACACTGACCTGTTCTATTAACAAAAATGACGATCATTGCCTCAAAGAGGCTTATAATAAAATGACAGACATTTCTATAGTTCAAAAATTATGACAGTTTTAGGGTCCTAGTTGCAGAAAGAGGGGAAGATTCCATTTTAAAAACTGTACTACACAACTAATCTAAACTGTGCAGACATCTACAGCCAGAAGAATTCAAGGACTTCTTCCAAACTGGCCATCCAACATTTTCAGCTAGAAACTGTTACAACATTCTAGATATAAAAACAAGTGAAGAGTTGATGGTGTTTAATTTAACCAAGCATCGTGAACTTGGCAAACAGAAGTGATTTAAAAACCAAGCCACCACACCAGAGCTTGGGGATGCACATCTGCAGTCACACCAGTGTCACGGAACAACACAAGAAGATCACGAGTTAAAGCCGCACCCTGTACAACACACTGGGACTCAGCCTCAGAACTTAATACTGATGCTGGTGCTGCTGCTACTGCTCCCACTAGAAGGAAGAATTTCTAAAAATGGATGCAGCTGAGAGTGAATGTCTTGGATTGAAGGCAAACTACTCATCCAATCACAGGCAATGCTTCCCCGATTCTTTGAGCCCACAACAAAGCCAGCCACAATTTTCTAAATTTTAATTTTGCCCCATATGTATTTAGGTAACTTATTAAGAGAAGACGTTAATCAAACATTTCTAGAATTTCTCTTTACACCGTGGAACTTTGACTCATATTCAACTCCAGCCAGCATACCACCTCCTGTTTACTGTCTCACTAAAACACGTCAACTTCAAGGGCAAACCTCTTCTACTGCAAGAGCTGAATTTCCGCATTCCACCACCCCCGCCTTTCCCACATTTCACCCCTTCTCTGCTCATCCCTGGATCCAAAATCCATTTATACCTAAGAACTGATAGGCAAGCCGACCAGACACTGGAGCTCAAACACTCCATCAGTACTCCTTTACGAAAACAGCTACCTCAGCAAGCATTTCATTATTTAAAAGATTTATACAAACTACTCAAGGCTGTATGGATCACGTGAGAGATGGGACCCATGACTTTTTTGAGTATACCCAAGTGACAATTACATGAGGACGGTCCGCTTCAAATACAGCATCAGCTACTGGTCAGCATGCCGGCCCTTTGGGAAGTTGCCATTTGAAAAGTTACTCCATTTCCTTCTTCAAAATATTAGTAATTCCTCTCCAAATTTCTTGCTTTACTAAACACACTAATGGAAACTTCCTTTTATTCTTACTGCTTTTAACGTTGTGAATTTAACAATGAAATTTAGCAAGCGTGATGGTTGTTCAACCACTGACTCTCATTACCAGCAATGTTAAATATTTTTTCAGATTTTCTCACATATTATCAACAGCAAACAATGCCTTTTACAGTGTGAAAAGGGAGTTAGAAATACAGGCCTTCGTCGTCGTCACAATGAAGACCAGGTCTGAGGACACAACTTCTGGGTTTGGACCCTGAATTCTAGCATGATTAAATTCAGCATCAGCGGGTGTCACACCCAGCTTCCTGCTACTGGGACAGAACACCCCGGACCCGATACACAAAGGAGAGGACTTCATGCCTCCCAGTTTCAGTCCATGGTGTGCTGGGAATAAGGCAGAAAGAGGACGGCGGGAAGCAGGACGGAAGGAAAGTGCCAGGAAGCAGAGAGAAGGGAGAAGACAGAGGACAGGACGCACTTTTCCAAGTCGCTCTCGAGTGACACCGCCATGCAGGGTCCAGATCCTACGGCACAGTCACGTACTGAACACATCGACGGGCGAGCGCAATGTGAGCACCTGGCCCCACAGTCCAAACCACTTACCCACACGAGACATGGGGGGCGTTGGAGACGCCCGTCAGGACACCAGGGCTGCTGCCGGGAGGAACAGCACGGGACACCCAGCACGTCACAGCTGCACACGTGTGAGGTCGGAGTCTCTGCCGCCCGCTGACGTCACGGCACCTTCTGCAGAGCAGCAAGGCTGCAGGCACTGAGCTGCCTACGCCAGGACTCTGGCCATGCTGAAGTCACCAGGACAGGCTAAAAACCGAGGTCCTGGTTGCTGCCACGTCCTCACCCCGAGGGCCAGGAGGACCCAGGTTGTAGCCTCAGCAGCTGACATGTGAGAACAGACAGCACAGCTCACGAGGAGAGACCCAAGTCCTGCT